CATGCAATTTATCATAGGGGAAAGAAAGGAAGAGGTTTTTATATAAACTTGGCATACAATGTAAAAATTGTATTTTTATAGAAGAAAATTAATGGTACAAACTATTTGATTATTAATATTTTTGTCATGGGAAATTATTTGAAAATGTTTTTTTACAATAACACTTGTTTAAAAACTAATTGCATTTAGCTAACTGCATATAACAATTATAAATTCCCATAACTATGAACATATATAGAGCCAAATTCATTAATAAAAATCACAATAATGACAGGCTTAGGTAACAAAGAAGAAAGGCTTGCTTCCTCATTCACTTGAATGAATGAATGAAGTTACACTAATATAACAGTGATGCAAATTAATGTAGCTTTTTAGTAAAAACCCTAGCAGACCTATTTGTATTTCTGAAAGTGTCATGGCTGTGAAAAACAAACATACAGCTTTTACCTGTGATATTGTTGACTTGCCCAGAGATATTCTTTACATGAATATACAACTAACTTTTGAATGCCAGGTGCATAAAAGAAGAACTGTAAAAACAAAGGCATCTTTTTTTTTTCCTGTACATCACATAATGGAAAATTAGGCTATTTTATATAATCACATTTCCTTTTGGCCAGGAGCCAAATACGTTTTGGGTTTGTTTTTGTTTTTTATAGCTTTCTGTCTGTTCATATGTTCTTTCAATCATATCAGTGAAACAGATTATGCAGAGAAGGGAATAGCTGGTTTATATTCCCTGAGAAGTCTGAAGACTATACAACATCAAAAAATAAAGTACTTGCATTGGACAGGTCTCATTCAGGATCTGCTTGATTATATTTCTTCTGCTAGTAAAGTCCAGTTGCTCTAAGGATACTTTCCTCAGCCTGTACCTGCAGCATGACAGATTTCCTGTCTTTCTTACCACCATTGCTCTCCTCACTTTGGAGGTTTACTTTACTAGCTAGATTAACAACAGAGATTTAGGGCCATAACACACATTACATATAGGATGTGTTAACTGCACTTAAAATATAAGCATCCGCACATTCAAGCAAGTTATGACTTTTTGCAGGAGTATTTCCAGATCGTATTAAGTAAAAATGTGTTCAGCTATTGTCGGACCACTCCACAAAGACAATACAAGGAATTTGTGCTCCCATGAGGTGTCCGTTCAAGTTGTAAGGATCAACAGCAAGTAGAGGGGCTGAGTCTCACAGCCCCACATTCCCCTCTGGGATCACAGAACTGCAGCCTGCTAGGGGCCCAATCCTGCTTTTTCTCCTCACCGAGGGGCACCAGTGCTGGGGCTGCCTTACCACCACACTAGAGCCTGGGATGTACCGTTTAGATTGTAGTAAACATTACTGTGCAACTGCTCAGAGCACGTTCTAACTTTAATACCACACAGATTTAACACATACTGGGCATATTTACATGTGCATTTTACTGCACAGTGGACTAATCCACTGCACAGTAAAGCATCACCATCTACATATGCACAGCAATTAAGGCCCAGCGGACTAATTTACAGCACCACTGGATAGTTCCATCAGACACAAGTACTATTTGGCGGCACAGTAAATCATAGTACTTAGAAGCATGTATAGATGGTAACAGGGCTGGCTGGGGCACAAGGGTGCTTCAGTGAGGGGCTAGCCAGCAGACAGCCCATGTGCTGAAACACCCTCATGCCCCTACCAGGTTCTCAAAGCATGCAGACACTGTTGAAACATCCCTAGGCACGCATTCAAACAAGTGGCCAGGAGCAAAAAACTCTGGAGCAACAAGCTCTGGAGTTTATTGATGCGCATTAATTACACATGCAAACACACCCACTGAGTTGCTCATAAAAGGCCCTTAATTGTTTTAATGCTGTGTGTTTCAACATCTAACTTCTAGGTACTCTGCCTCATGGAATCTGGACTCTCAAATTAGGTGCCTAGAGGAGAGTAAGGTGCCTAAGAACAGGAGACACAGAAACCAGCATGCTGGACAATGAACTGCCTATGTTACCCAGAAGGAAATGAATGAGAAACCTACAGTAAGTCTTGACTAAAGGGATTAGGTGCCTACCTCTGGGCTGAGGGAAGTGTCTCTCTCACCTCAGAATTTAAAGCTGAGACCCCTCTGCTGGAATGACTACCTGACACCTTTCTTTAAAAAACAAAGATAATGTCCTTTCATTCAAGAGTGATAATATAAAACCAACCATTAGAGTGTGTGTTCAATCTCTCTCTTCTTGCAGCTCTTCTACTTTGCTGTAATTAAAGCGTGGCCCCCACCCCTGGAGTACGTGTAAAAGTGCCCTAGGTGACCATATAACTCAGAGGTAAAGGCACTCATCTGAAAGGTGGGGAGAGGGATCCCATTTACTGTTTTAATGGAGATTCCAGGCAAAGTGGAATAGATGGCACTGGGCTGAATCTCTAAAGAACTGGGGTCTGTCCCTTGCTGTGCTACAAGCAACTTCTGACTTACCCTCTCTGTGTCATTTCTACTCTTCTGTAAAACACAGATATACTGCTTTCAAAGGCAGTATACTCAAAAGACCTAGTTGTCATGGGTGACTTGAATTACCCAAACATCTGCTGGGAGGAGCAGTCAGCCAGGTCTGCCCATTCACGTAGGTTCTTAACCTGCATACAAGACCTGCATCTAACACAGGAGGTATGCAGTCCCACTAGGGGAGATGCCTTACTTGACTTGGTGCTGGTCACAGAGGAGGAATTGGTGGGGGATCTACAGGAGCAAGGTAACCTAGGGGATAGTGACCACCAGTTGATAAGGTGGGAAAGACAACTAGTAGGGCAGTAGTGCTAGACTTCTGGAACGCCAACTTCAATGAGCTCAGGAGATTGGTTAGGGTGGGACTGAGGGGTCATCACATCTGTGAGATGGGAGTCCAAAAGGGGTGGAAGTTCCTCAAGGGACTGATCCTACAGGTACAGAGGGACACCATCCTAGTACATGCAAAGGGAGGCAAAAGAGCCAAAAAACCTTCTTGGCTGAGCAGGAAAATCCAGGAGAGCCTGCAGAGGAAAAAAGACACCTACAGGCTGTGGAAACAGGGGGCAGCCACCAAGGAAGAGTATACTTGCTTGGCTTGCGCTTTCAGGGAAGCAGTGAGGAAGGCCAAAGCAGATACAGAACTCAAGTTGGCAACAAAGATTAAGGATAACAAAAAGTCCTTCTTTAAGTATGGAGGGAGCAGGAAGAAGGCACAGGGTAATATAGGGCCGCTACAGCATGGACTAGGGCAACTCATAACTAATAGGATGGAAAAAGCAGAGCTCTTAAATAATTTCTTTGCTTGTTTTCCTGGACATGGATACAAATACACCCCCCAATGAGTCTTTAGTCTGGAGCGAGAGTAATACTAATCCACCAACGGTTGGCATTGACCTAGTGAAGGGGCACTTGGAAGGGTTGGACATATTTAAGTCGGCAGGCCCTGATGATCTTCGCCCAGGAGCATTAAAGGAATTGGCCGATGACATAGCAGAACCACTGGTGCAATTGTTTGAGTACTCATGGCACTCGGGACAGGTCCCAGAGGACTGGAAAAGGGCCAACGTGGTCCCTGTTTTCAAGAAGGGGAGGCAGGAGAACCCAGGTAATTATAGGCCAGTTAGCCTCACCTCTATTCTTAGAAAAAATCATAAAAGATCACATTTGCAGGGGGCCAGTGGGTAACACAATGTTAAGGGGCAACCATCATGGGTTTATAGCAGGCAGATCTGCTCATATTTACACAGATAAGCACCAAATAATAGCACTATTCAGACAAATTAAATGATTAATAACTAATATGTAGCACTGATATAGGAAAGCATCCCTATTTAGGGTGGAGCTTTAACATCTGCTTAACCATACATACTTGTAGAGAGAAAGAGAAAAACAGGAATTAGATTTTCTTCATAATTTGGTTCTTAACAAGTTCTGAATGCTAATACGGCAATATGCTGTGCATTGGCGACATGTAGGGGGTGCACGTGGGTGCACGTGCACCCTGTGGAAGTCCAGCCATGAAACGGGAAATGCCGGCAAAAGTGCACTTCTGGTTTTGCCGCTGGCTTGGTGATTGGCTGATGGGGGACCCTCCCCTGTGTCAGCGATCTGGTGCCCCCCACAACTCGGGAGGCACCAGTTGCCCATGATGCTGTGAATATGCATGCACTTCAGTCAGGTAATTTGTGGTTATCTTATATATTTCTGGTCAAATTAATCAGAATTATGTTAGTGTCCTTGAATTCTTAATGGCACATGGTAAGTTAGTACTGTTGATCATTTCAGTACTTATGGGGTACGTCCAGATGTGTGGATGTCTGGCTCTCTGGGAACAAGTAGTGGTGGTTCATTTTGCGCTGCCGCTTCTTGAACCTGGGGAACGCCTGTCCCATGCGTGCTTTGGCACGCAGCAAGTTGCCACGGGTGGGGAGGGGAAGCTGGGGCCAGCCTAGTGCTGGCCCCAGCAGCCTTACCTGGGGTCCTGGGAGCCTCTTGGGGCTCCAACCATAGTGATTCTGCTACACAGAGCCCGGCTGGCAGTGGAGCGTGGCCCTGGGAGGGCTAGCTCCATTTTTCAGCAGTGCGCGCTGGCCAAGTGTGTGTTGTTCTGGGGTTTTTTTCGCCCTTTTTTTTTACCCCTGGATATCCAAAAAAACCCGGCACAGTGCATGCTCAGGCGGTACACCCTTGCAGTGCAGAGAACACCCGACTGTGCAGTATGTGGTGCTGCAAACATGTTTGCAGTGCCATGTACTGCATGACTGCACTTGTCTGGATGTGCCCATGTAGTCCTAATTCTGGCTAGACCACATCTGCATTTTCTTCAGTGTCCGTGGCTCATCCTGTTTCCTTTATGAAGCATCTATGCTCAGAGTAGGAAAACAGGCACAATAAAGGACAACAAACGTTATCCATACCTGTTTCAATTATCTGTGGTTTTCCTGTAAGCAAAGTGCTTGGAGAAACATAAAGTGGTTTTCACATGGCATTACAAATATTATGAATACCTCATAGGTAACACCACTGTCAGTGCCAGCATCCCATGGTATCAGATCCTGAACAACTTTCTGAACCCAGCCGCAATCCTTGGTACAGAGGTCTTCAGCTGAGAGTCCAACATTCCAGTCAGGGCTGGGTCCAAGCATGGTAAGGAAGGACATGAGATGACGATGCCTGTCTACAGAAAACTCAGCAGAGGGAGCAGCTCTACTGCAAATAGGAAACAGGAAAACAACATTAGCTGTTGAAATAAAGTTTGTCATTTGTTCAGCTCTGAAACTTGTGCTTTAAAAAAAGAAAAAGTTAGCACAAACGTGACAATATGCATCTGGCATCTGTAGACAAGTAGAGAGATGGGACAGAGTGAGGGCATGACACAACTCTAGTACATTATATCCTTTTCAGCAGTAAGCCTGCCTTTATGCATTATTTAATGATATAACTTTTACTGCATTCAAGGATGTTTAGAATTTATTGTGTCTCAGGTTGTTAGAATGAATAGCTGCATAAGTACCCTTTATTTCTTAACCTTACAAAAAAGACTTTCAGGTAGGCTCTCAGATACTGTAACAAACATAAAAGCTTCAAGTTACATGGTTGGAAGAACTATGAAATGTTTGACTGCCAGAATATTTTTATCCAGGCAGGTCTTATGGCTGCAGATTAAAAAGTGCTTAAAAGCACAACTTTGTAAAGCAATCATTAGTTAGATTTTAGTGCTTATGCAAGTAAGAGATTGATGATGCTGGCCAGGCCCAGAGAAGGCAGCCAGGCATTATGCAAGATTCTGCTGATGTACGTCAATGAAGATGTGCAAACACCCCTACTTGCCCAATTCTTGCCAAAGACGTTCTTAAGGAGAAACTATTAATCATGCTGAATGATGCAGGACTTGGTGATCTAGACCAATAATTATCAAATTCCTATTCCATGAGAAACGAATATAAACTGATACCACCATCTACATATGTGCATCTAAAGCATTAACTCATTGTGCCACCTACAACAACTTTTTGGTTGCTTTAGATATAATTTTATAGTGCTTGCAACTAATCCAGATCTGACAGTTCAACTCAGTCAAAACTCTCTCTGAGTTCAATGGGAGTTTACCTCAGTTGAAATATTCAGACCAAAGTACACTCAGTTTTTCCATCAATCCCAAACCAAAGCTATCTTTTTGCTATGGATTTTAAAACATTCTATATTTTGTCTCCAGAATTTGTTACTTTTGTTCACCCATAACCTCTGTGTTGTGGAGTTATATTTGCAACATATATACACACTATACTTCTCTCCCAGTCTGTGGGAATTTACTTTTCTATAAGAAGTTGTGTCATTGAAAAAGAAAAAATATAATTTATATTTCCACTGATCCTTAGCATTGTTTACAGAACACCTAGTATATTCAAAATGAGATGAGCCCAAAAAACACATTGTATTTTTGGTGTACTTTGTGTAAACATGGTTTAGTTTCAAACTTGAGTTGACTAAGTTATGGTGTCCATGTCCTTCTTTGAAAGCAAATCAGGCAAATAGGAACCTTAACAGAAAATTTCAATTCAAGAAATTTAATGATAAAAGGTTTGTTTTGGCTGTCCCTACCATAAAGCCCACAGCAAAGGTCTTTATGGTAGTTTCAAACTGTTGATTGGATTGACTTAAATACCACAGATAGACTGTGAAGACCTTTTTCATGCTGGGTAGAATTCCATACTGACTACCCTAGGACAAATTTGTCTAGTACAAATAAAAATTATAGTAAGGTACTGTACAAAGCTTTGGTCACTGATTCGATTCAGCTGAGATTCAGCCCCTGAACCTCCGCATCTCCCCCCCTTCCCTCCGCTCAGCAACTGGTGCCTCCTGGGTCTGAGGGGGGGGCACCTGGGGTCCCCCCTGTGGCCGATTACCAAGCCGGGGGGGGCGATGCAGGGGGGTCCACCTGTCAGACGCTCCATCCACCCCACCATCTCAGCATTCACGAGCCATGCCTGGTACCCCAAGGTATGTAGAAAAAACATTTAAAGCTGTGTCTATGGCCAAATCACTGCTTCTCTGAATCAGCACTGAATTTTCAGATTTGGACTCAGCTGAATTGAATTGGGACAGTAATCTGAATCAATGAATCGAATCACTGCCCCCAGTTTGGGCGGAATCCGAATCTGAATCGAATATAGCTCATTTTGCACACCCCTACTATTTAGCATGAGTAAACGTATCAAAACTGGTCTCGGAATAAAATATTTTTGATACCTCTGAATTACATGCTGGTGCTCATAGATTGCCAATAGACTAAGATAACAAAAAGATGTTACTGGCATACAAAAATAGTTTCTGAGCATGCCCTATAGGCATTTTACAGTGAATACTGAGACAAACAGAATCTTGAGCAAATTAAAGTATTTGAATACATGGCCCTCAGATGGAGGGTATGTATACATTGCATATGTAGATGGCAACAAAAGCCACTTCAGACATTTTGATGAAAAACTTCTGTGGATTTAGTTATTAGTCTCTTACACCTCCAATCTCTTTATAAAAACAGCTGAGAAATCGCATGTATAGAAATTACAATGCAACTGCTGGTTATATAATTATTGTTCATTTTTTTGTAGGAATACCATGATGCTAAATCTTTCCTTAACTTATACTGTGTACAGTGAGAAACAAAGTCCTCGATACCTGAATGTCAGTGACCACTATATGATACATGGAATTTAAGCTGGAGAAGAATCTGGTTCATAATATGTAAGAGAATATACCAAGACACGACTAAGCAATCTACCCTGATAGGTTATATCGCAGCTGAGCAAATGTTTTCTGAATGATCAGCTGATGAAGGAAATCCTAGGTTTTAATCCTTGCTGTCCCAAGGATTTGTTGCACAGGCTTGGGCAAATCACTGTAAATAATTCTGTTATCCATGGAATAATAGATTCACTTTCTCTGCCTACTTATACTGGAGCATAAGTCTGTTGGGGTAAAGTGCCAAAGATGACTTTTAGGAAAGGCAAAGGGCCCAAGACAGCAACCCTGCATTTTCAGAATCTGTTGATCCAGTTACAATGGTAATTGCCAACATCAGCATCAATGGTTCAAACCAATCTACTAAATCTGAAAACCAGACACTGGGAATCTTCAGTCCCTCAACTGAATTTTATAGATTAAATCTCTATATCTCTAAAAATAACTCATTAGCTTGTAAATTTTAGAAGTGTGTGATGCAGAAAATGCAATATTTCAACTCTGCCATTAGTTAATCATGTATAGTGCTCATTCCTCTATTCCACTTCCAAATTTTGTCAGGTATAATTGTAAGTAGTAACAGAATATCCATGCAAAAATGGACCATACTTCCATAATACTGCTAAACTACTCAGCTTGCATGCAGTATTTCTTCAGCCTCTGTAATCCGGAAGGTGAGGATCGCTGTTCTCGTGTATATCCACTTCCTAGATGCAAGTATGATGATAATGACTAGGGTGTGTATTTTATTTAAAAAATGCAGACTTAAAATTTCTAGCATCTGCAAGAATGAAGAACTCATAAAATTGAACCCAAGTCCTTCCACAGAGTTCTGCTGATATATCTGATTCCTCATCTAAAGTGTCTTCTGCTCATTCTGAACCTCCAGGGAGAAAACAGCATAACTAATTCAATATGTAGATATACATAAGTTAGATGTCCCAAATGTTATTAAGGAAAAGACCCACAAAGGCTATCTAGTTTTTCATCTTGAAGACAAGGTGAAACAGGTTCCTAATGCTTTTTTCATTCTAGTGTTAATGTCTGAAGTAGTAAGAAATCCACTACTTCCTTTGGATGACTGTACTACCTTTAAATAGATTTCACCAGTAGATGATCACCTTGGCTAGGGACAGACATGCAAAAAGCCTGAGCCTGAATTAATTCAATCTTTGCAGGTTAATCTAACCTGGCTAGGCTAAATCAGTTTGTAACTGTACAGACATCCCAGACATGCAAGCATATGCCTGCAGTGGCTCAGGCTAGAAGCCAGGGGGGCACTACAGCAGACTTCCTTTCCCTTCCACAGGACTGAATTGAGGGGGGCATGGCCAGGCCCGGAAGTATTAGGGAGGGGTTACTCCCCTCCTTGATAACAGAGCATTTATCAGCTCTGTTAGCAGCATTTATCACCTCATCAGAAAAACAACAGCCTCTCTCATTAGTTCAAGCTCTTCTTCAATAAAGAAAGAATGGAGGGATATTACCAGCTGAGCTGTTGATTAGCTCCAAAAAGTCCTAATCTGACACAGCATGGACTGTAGCCAGCATGTGGTCTGCTAGCTAATGCTATGTGTCAGGGAGTGGTGAGGCACGGAGGGGAGCGCAGGAGGAAGCCAGGAAGATGCTATTGTGCCTGCAAGTCTCTGTCAGAGCTGCAGCCAGGGAGCAAAGGGGAGGGGCCAGCCCTGCTGTGAAGCAGAGAGCATGCCAGGATGCTGGGGGAGTCTGATTTAACTTAAACAAGCAAGCGGCCTGGGACAGATATTGCATAAACTGGTTTGACCGAAATCAGTTAAGTCTGATACTACATTCAAGCAGATTTATCTTAAACCAGTCTCGGCCATTTTGAAACTGGTTTATGTGCACTGAACTTTTGTTCTGTTACAGGCTTAAACCAGTTTCTGATCACTTAAACTGGTTTATGTGTGTAACAGGGAGACACTTCCCTGTTACAGGAACATCTGGGAAAAACACCCATTTTGTTGAGAACTTTCTGCCTGACCTGTGGAACTGGGTGACATATTGACTGTTTGCCCATCCAGGACACTAAATACCCGCTATGGACTTTGGTGAAGTACCCATTACTTGCTGACAGTGGTGAGGTGTTCAATCAGATTGAGATAACAAAAGGCTTAATTGCCAATTAAGTCTTTACGACTGGCGGCAGACAACCGGAGGTTAACAACAGCCAGGTGGAAACATTGTATTAAGGACTGCCAGTGCGATCAGCACTTCCCCGGAAGGGGAAGAGGAGCCGAGGCTTTAGACGCCAGAGATAGCACGCAGCCTGCGCGGAGGCGCAAGCGATGAGAGAGAGATTCACCAAGAATTTCTTGTTGATGTGGCAAGTGCTGGGCATCCGGCCCATTGGAAGATGCATTGCTGATTCAGCCAGGTGATTGCAGTTCAGTCTGGATCCGTTGCTGTGAATTGATAAACAGGGCTGGCTTGCAAATGCCCAC